CACGCGCAGCGCGGCCACGGCTGGGGAGAGGGCTTGCGGGGAGAGTGATATGTTGGGGTTTTTTTTCTTTCTTTCTTTCTTTATTCAGCGTTTGCTTTATTTCCTCTTGGCTTCTCCTCTGGGCGCTCAGACCTAACCACAGCCCGTGGGCACCCGCTCGGCCGAGGGACGCACAACCCGCCGACGGCTCCCCGGGGCAGAGTCACCTAGGCCCAGCCATGGCTAATTCCCCTCTTAATCTTCTTTTTCAACGTTCTGCGCCGTTTCCCTTAGAGGGGCGCCGACAACCTCCGTCGTTCAAAGCTGCCTTGTTGATTTCTCCGCGTGGTTTAAGCGCTCGGAGGCAGAGAGCAGGGCTCCTTCAAAACCGCGTACATCAGCTCCCGCTGCAGGGCTTCCATCAGGCGCGAGGGCGCGAGAGTAAATGCAAACAGCAAAAATAAAGTGTTTGACATTTAATGATCTCATAGGGGCTGTGGAAGATGCACTCTTGAACATCAGTTGCTGTCTCAAGCTAGCGTGATGCAGAGAGACCCCCCGTGTTTCATGACTAATTGAGCCCTAATGATTTTCCTTTATCATCTGAAATGGAAACAAAGGATTTAAGGAATGTCTCATTGAGTAGCTGTGGGTCCTTCCTCTTGATCATTTATTTTACCCCACTTTAAAAGTCATGCTTCAACTCTTCCTTCTGAACCCATTTCTCTGCAGTTGCGGCTGCTTTTGTAGTTCTGTCCTATTGTCTCAGCTGGGCCGAACGCAATTACTGAGGCTAACGCAACCTCTGCAAGGAGCAAAGCCCCCAGACAGCCCACATTAGCCACACAGTCTGCCAAAAAGTCACGGCTTTGGGCATTTGCAGGCTTCTTCTTGAATCAAAGGCAAGCTCCCAGGGCTGCATGGGTGGCCGCTGCCTGCAGGGATACAAGGGCGCACATGAAGGGGACGAGCTCACCCAGCACCTTCACAAGGCGATCACAAACGCTGGGGGCCGAGGCACCAGAAAGGACCGTCCTGGCTGTTGGGGCAGACCTTGCCGCAATGCCATATCCTTCCCTGCGGCCTCCGACACGGGGCCAGACTCTGCTGCAGTCCAGAAGGATCCACCTAGGTCCTTTTGCTGAACCCGTGCTCTCCGTGGGGGGTCTTCCTGTCCTCCTGGCACTGGCAGCTCTCCACTAGAGAAAGCCTTGATTTATGCGGTGGAACAAATCCCCAAGTCGGGTTTAAGGCATTTGGAAAAAACAGGGCAGCGGTGAGCAACTGTTTCATCTCCAGCCATCCTGGGCAAGTGCTGCAGCTACGTGACCTGAGATAAACTGCTCGTCCCTCCTCGCTCGCCAGAAGGGCCGTTTGCCACCTCCCTCCCCGATAGCAGTTTGCGTACTGAAGTGGAAGGAAAAGGAAGAATTGTTTTTGCAAGGTAGGTGATTGGGATGTTTACAGAAACGCGCCCACCTGCCCTGCCGTCGAGCCCCGCGTTGGAGCAGAAGCACTGATGTAAGGCAAAAATGACAACTGAAGGCAATTTTACAGCCAAATTATTCTGGAAATGGTAACAGCTTAAATCATTATATAGCTCTTTCTGGTAATTTGCTATAATTAAGGCTGGGCTCCAAGGTGCTATCACACTGCTCCAGGCCACATTTCCAAATCACTGCTCTTCTGCAAAGCCCTGACCAGCAGATGTCCTTGGAATTGTCCTGGAGACAATAGGCTTTGGGGTTTAATTAGGATCGACATGAAAATTAGTCTGTGGAAGAAAAGAAGAAAAATAGGCGCTGGATCCATATCAGCTGACATGAGCAGAGCTGTGCTGTTTCATACCCGGTGACGACTTGGCCCCGACTTACTCCTCTGCCTGCCCCGCATGGCAGTGATGGGCCCGTGCGTGGAGGCAGCAACAAAACGCGCAGCGACCCGGCAGGCCAGACTCGTGGCCAGCTTGCAACGCCACTGACTGTAGCCAGATTCAGCCTGACGAATTGGCTTTGAAAACCCGATTTGTCACCAATGCCAGCCCATGCAGCGAAAGCAGTTTCCCCAAGTCCATGAAAAAGGTTGGGGACGGCTCCCAGCCACGAGACCCTGTGATTCCCCCTCGTTCCCAGCAGTGGGCTCATGGTTGAGATGCACGAGCAAGTTCACCGTCGTGGATAGCATTTTTCGACAGTAGCCAGGTGAAAAACCATTCACATAGGGACATCAGGCCAGATGACCAAGTTTCTTAAAGATACCTCCAAAAATTGCAAGAGACTTCCTAGGATCAAGTGGAGCCAGCCCACTTTCAACCCTCGCCCCTCCGGCTGTCAGAGGCAGCTGGGTACGTTCATTGCCCCAGCAGTCGCTCTGCCTCCCCAGCCATCCTCATCCTCTCCCCGCTGCCTGCGAGCGTGCCCACTCCCAGCTGCAGGCTCCTTTCGTTTTCCTACATATCCCTCATCTCCTTCCATACCATTAATCGCAGTATTTCAATTAACAGACCTGAGCAACCAAACAGACCTGGCCTGTACTAATGTGTTATTAATTGGGTCATGTTGGATCTCAGCAATATTAAGCGCCATGTAGCTTTGAGCTTTCATCTTCTGATTGATCCAGGCTCATTTCATTTATCTATCGCCTCCCAAACATCACACAGGCCCAGTTCGGTTTTTCCCTCTACGCTCACCTTTTAAGTAATCTGACAGATTCACTGCATTGCCTGCTACCTACTACACAGTGAGAAGAGTCATACTTAATTTACAGTGCTCTACTTCTCCAAGAAAAATCAATGATTGTTTACATTACTATTCTACAACCTCTCTTTTAAAATAATTCACGGCAGGGCCAATGCTACTAATTTTATTAAGCCATTATTAGTGGGCAGATATTATTCTGCTCCATTGATCCTAAGCTGATGCAATTACCACTTATGAATCCAGCACCATATGTTGGAAATTTTCAATTCCGTTTGCAACTTGAAGCTGCACATTAAAATTGTGCCCAGCCAGATGCTGGTGGTGTAAACTGGGGAGCCTGCTGATTTTGAAGCTGATTCAAAACAAACAAGGAACTGCCCAAACCTTATAACTTAACTCCTTTTAAAACAGAGTTACCGCTATCAGCCTGGTACTGAGCCATTCACAACTGCACCATGTCAAAGGGAAAAACAGTCTCAAATACTCTCTTCAAGCCTCTCAAGTCCTATAGTTCATAGAAACCTCATCAGGTTAACTGAAACATCCACTGATGTGAATGGGAAATCCTATACATGAAAATACATTTAGCTTAATCTGCCCTGAAAATATGCTGAAAGACAGGAAAGGTCCATGCCCAGCTGAGTGTTCATTTTAACTCTATTTGCAGAGGATGAATTTCACCCAGAGGCCTCAGATCTCCTGGTCATCATCTTCTCTAGTGTAAAAAAATTAATAGCAGCGCAGTGCGGGAAAATGAGACAAAAAGGCACAAATCACCATGGCTTCAAATATCCCCCAAGAAAATCTAACAGAGTGGGGCAAACAACTGATCATGCAGAGCAGTGACGAGGCCGGCAGTGGCAGAAGGCTACAAAAATACGCAATCGTGCCGACCACCCCTTTGAGCAGGCTGAGCGGGTGACTTGTGCTGGCTCACACGGGAAAAAACCTCTTCATTCTCAGCAGCTCAAAGGAATCTAAAACTGCAATTTGAAAAAGAAATTAGGACTCACCTTCAGCTTGGGAAAGCGTTAGCTCAGCTGCATCCTTTTGTTTAAGAACAGGAATGGCCTTTGTGCACATATGCAAGTCAAGAAAAACTTGCTACTCAAGGAACTGGATAAAAAAGAGAAAAGGAAGACAGTCCTTGCCCCATGATCTTACAGTCTAAAACCAGATGGATGGAAGGATGGATGGGTGGGGGGATGGCTGGAAGGGTGGATGGGTAGGTGGATGGGTGGGTGGAGATAGCGGACAACAGGGAACCAAGATGCCAACATAAGCCAGCCCAGCAGGCTGCAATACCAGCAGCCTCACTGCTGTTTAGCTGATGATGGGCAAAGGATTTGGGGGAAGACTATGAAGTCTATTGCGAGTCCTGGCCGTACAAACAGAAAGAAATTGAGCCTCCAGGAAGCCTGGTTAATCAGCCCTGGCACCCCTTGGAGCATGTCCTGCTGGAGTCGTTAACTTTAATCTGACTTTAACTTACCTTAAACTTAATGCAACTTTAATCTTCCATTTAGCAAGGTATGAACCCTCCTTCAGTAAAAATTAGGCAAAATAAGATTTCTTTTTACTGTCTGCATTAGAATCCTTGCAGTAGCGCACATCAGCAACTAGCTAGAATAAATCACCCTGCAGCCACACATTTCAAGAGCTAAGCCAAGTCACACCCGCGGAGACTCTGGCCACAGAGAGCCCACAGAATAACAAGAAACAGTATCGTAATACTGCCGGTTCCTGCTGATTTTTTGAGGGCGATTGATTTATGGGGCCTACTGCACTCAGCTAAAATGGTCGTTCAACATTATAAAGCAACAGCCTTGTCCTCCATGCAAAACAAATAAACCAAGAAATGAATTACACGCTTTCCTCCACAATAGAGATATTTCTGGCAGCTGCAGGGCTTTCCCGCGGCGCTGCGGGAGAGTTGGTGCTGGCTGCTCGGCGAGTTGCCCCGGAGCCACGGCGCGGGTGCAGAGGCCACACCATTTAGCTAGGACGGTCCTCCTGTGTTTAAAGTGTGCCTAGCTTTTTTTAAATCCCTTTGGGAAAGTGGGAGACTGGGGTTAAGCTTTCGTCTCCCTGGGGAACCCCGCTGCCCCAGCTCTGGGACTTAACAGCAGGACCGGCCGGTGCGGAGCAGAGCGATGCGCTTCCTCTCGGCTGTAAGCAGAGATTTCGGGGAACCAGAGCACAGACCAAGCCTGCGCACAGCTCTCTCCAGGCAGAGCAAAGGCACACGTGCCCAGTGCCCGTCTCTGATACATGATACCCTTTGCAGGGGCATAGATTATAAGCTTGAGCCCTTCCCTGCCTCTCAGCATAGATGACATGGAGTCTCTCGCTGGAAACGGCAGCAGAAAGCTTGGCTGACCAGGGTACCGGGGTCCGCTTTATTTTATCCGCCTGCAAAAGACTGCACACAGGGATAGATCAGATTAACAGGGCTGATGATAAACATCCTCCTCTTTATCCCCTCTGACAGCAGCAACCTTTTATCTACAGTCTGAAGACAAAGCTTTTCAGCCATGCATTTTCTGTCTTGGGGGATAGTTCTTTCCAATAGAATTTTTTTTTTTTTTGAGAAAAATCAAAACATTTTGATGGAAGATTTTTCAGCCATCCTTACACATTAAAAGTGGTGGCAGACAGACCTGGCACATCGACATCTGCTCCCTCTCACCGGCTTAAATTTAATATCTGGTGTCTGAGAGCTAACCCTCCCTCGGAGCTCCGCTGGGGTCAGCTCAATGAGAGACATACCTGGCTTGGTGAGACGGAAACAGCTCCTTTCCCGAGGGTTTCCAAATGGTTTTCCAGAGTGACCCTCTCATCACTTTATCGCCTCTAAAAAGGTACCTTCCTAATGCCCTCTAACAAGGCTTTGGGGAGGACAACGTTACGAATTGTGGCTCAGTGAATCTGCCACTCACGGCTGCTAATATGCTGCGTTTATCCTTGCCACAGCAGGGGTTGAGGAAGCGAGAGGAGGAGAGAAGGGAAAAAGTAATTACTTCCTGCTCAGCTTGTCATCAAATCCCTTCCTCAGCCCCTTCATGTCTTTCTCTCCCACGGTTGCACAAGCGGCCGGGACACTCGCCGCAGCTGCTGTGCCGGGGCTGGTGCAGCACCCTGGGAACTGATGGGGCGTGTGGACAGGATGGGGCTCGGCACCACACAAGGCATCACAGTGCCCCGGCACGAGTGCGGGCTGACCTGCCTGGGGTGCACTAACCCCTTCAGCCTGAACGGCTGATGCTTGATGCCATTAGCATCCCCTAATCAAGATGTGTGTTTATTTTAGTTGGGAGGTCTTATCCCAAAAGCAGCCCCACAGTGTAGTGAGGAGGAAGAGGAGGTGCCTTTCCTGGGCTTTTTTTTAAAAAGGAAATCTTCAGTGGTTACAGGTGCGAGTACACCTGACATTAAAATCTCCCTCTCCTGGAGAGGACTCAAACTCCATGTTCTTATTCAATGATGTGGCTCAACCAGATACTGAATTAAAAGTAAAGACACTGAATCATGAAATTAACCCCATTTGCTGGCTTATGCCTAGTTCAGGAGACAGGGGCCACCTGAAATTCCCAGGGGAATTTCCCAGGGGTCACCTTCCTGAGACCTGAAATTAGGTTGGATGTAAGAAGTCCTTACCTGGGCTGTGTATTAAAATGAAGACAAATATTTTGAACAGCACCTCATCAGCCTTTTTAGTGTCTTTCGTCAGGTCCTGAAGGTGCAATGAAAGATCAATAGCAAGGGTCATTTTGCTCTGGGGAGGTGGTGGACATGGGATTACTGGCAATTCAGTGAACCAGCGTGGCCATGCCATTGCTGGAGTAGCATGTGCTGAAACCAATGTGCCATAGGATAGATATGATGCACTTCACATGGAAATTGATGCATCACCTTTGGAATCAAATTGATCACCTCTTCCATTCAGTCACCTCCTACTGAATTAAAAACTTCACATGCAGTTCACATTGCACCACAAATCAGGCCAGAATGGAATTAAATACATGGTATGCTAAGAACCCATTAATCACCCTATAAATTAAACATGGGACAAGCCTCTTAGACTGGATGTGCCCAGATGGAGCCTGCAGTCCATCTGTGAAACCCTGACATCACTGAAGTCCCTGAGAGCTTTGTCATTCATTTTAGTGAGTTTGTTCAGGCCTACCCTGTCCAGGCCAGGACTGACGGGGTACCCAGCTCCAGATCTGTCCTGGACCTACCCAAAACCTGGTGTCCAGGAACTTCTGATATTAGTGCCTGTCCTGTTGAGCCATCCACACTCCCCACTTGTAGGAGGTTTAAGCCGGAGCCTCAAGGTGAGAAGCTTTTGGACACCATCAGCCTCCTGGTCTTCCTCCCAGTGGTTAAGGAGTTGCCATGTCTGTCTGCCCTGATCTTCACATAACACCAACATGTTGCTGTGAGTCTCATGAGGACTGGGGTCCTGTGGAACATCCTTTGCCAGGCCCTGGGCAGGACGGCAGAAGGGTGGGCTCTGCTCCTGCCCTAGCACCTAGCAGATACTCAGCAGGGGCTGCTGGCTTCCTGACCGCCGTTTTGCTGTGTTTGGCCCACCCATAGCTCTACTTCAAGGCAACAGGAGGAGAAAAGAAGAGCCTCAGGATTCATCTGCTGCCAAGAGCATCCAAGGCAATCCTGACCTCAGCGCTCAGCAGCTGGCGTTACTAGTCCTGCATGGTGGACAGGAAAACAGGGCCACAGAGCAACGGTTAGTGACTGCTCCAGGGCCAAAGCTGGAGATCAGGGTAAAGGCAAAGATTAGACCTCAGAATTGTCTTATCAGAAGCCAGAATACTATTTCCTCCTTTTCATTATATGCGTTGACTGTTGCTTTTCCAACAGCACCTCCCTGAGCGTTCCTCACAAAGCAGTGAGCCCCCTTTCCTTGTTCCCGTTCCCCAGAGAAAGGCAAGACAAACTTCCAGTTAGTCAGAAATGTCCGATCCAAATTCCTGGATCAAATCCACACCATTCCCTTTTATTGTCCTATTCATCTGGTCCTCTCAAAATCTGTTCAGGAACAATTAGAGCCTGTCAGCTAGAAGCTGACGCAACTTTTATTTAATTAGCCCAGCAGCCAATAAAGATCCCATTCATCAATATCTTGCGGAAGGTTGGTTTCAGGGGGGGAGTGGGGGGGATTTGTCATTTCTTTCTCACATCCAGATGGCTGCATAGCATCCATCAGTGATCCGATCACAGGCATGGACACACGTGTATGTCTGATAAGGCCCAGCCAGCTGGGATACATCTGTCCAGAAAGCACTTACAGCAGAAAACAGCACAAGTCCGCTCCAGATGCTCTGTTAGCAAGTCTCATTAGTAACTCAGTTGCCCGACCACGGCCAACGTGGGTAGCAAATGATCCCAGTGGGAAAAGCAACTTTGGAGGGCTGTTCCTCTTCTGACCCATTTGCTGCCCTTCACGGCAATGGGAGTGCCAGGAAAGGACAGAGATGTTTAAGGAGGGCCAAATGCCAGCACGGTGAATTAGGGGGAGGCCTGAGGACGTACCAGGGATACCCCGTGCCTGCTGCCTTCACCCAGGGAGGGTAAGAGCCTCTTCTCCCTGCACTGCCACACTCTGAGAATAACCACATCAGAGATGACACAGCAGGAGGAGGAAAATCCATACCTAGAGCTGCCGCATCCTAACAAAATCTCGGGGTATTCAGCACATCGGAGAAAGTTTTTGGGACTGCACCCTCTTGTCCTGAAAGCTTCTCCCTATATTGATTGTCAGGGTATATATACTCATCCTGACCTTCTACCCCGCCAGGCTTTTCCTAGAGATGAGGCAGGGTGGCCCAGGAGGGTGGCCAGATACACGTGGCATGAATGCAAACCTGTACCCATGCAGGCTCTACGCTGGCCCTCATCGGTCACCAGCAGGAGGTTTCACCGGCTCAGACCTGTGGGACTGGGTCCCTGCAGGAATCTCTTGCCAACCTTGTTTGCAGCCCCACCATTACAATTCCCTGAATTAAAAAAAAAAAAAAAAATCAATTACTGCAGGACAGTTCACAGATTAGAAACATGAGTGATGGTATCTTCATAATTAATGATTACAAGAAAGCAGCTTAATAGTGTGGTTTTCTGTGGCTGGTTTGATTTCTAATATATGGCAGTTGTTGGCGTAAGCAAAGCAGGTAATTGGAGACAGTTTATCCTTGATGTGTTGCTGGTAGTAGCACTTCACAAACTTGCATGTAAGGCTCTTGTTTCTTAAAGCTGTAACCTTCAACAGCACGAGAGGGCTGCAAAGGTAACCACATCGATAGCCGTATCCCCAAGCTGCAGGAGGCTTAGGAACCCAATGAAGGGCAATTTCTCTCTGCTGCAGGTTGCTGTGGCCAGCAAATACCCCCATGACACTCATGGAGAACATGCCCCCGTTCAGCTTTCCAACCCCAGCAGAGAGGGCAGAGGACCTGAGAGCCTGTCCTCAGCGCCCTGAGCTACATGGATCCTCCATAATTTTTAACAGGAACATTATTGCTGCATATTAGTGTGATTGATGCCAGCTCAATCAACTGGAAAAGTGTTAAGCCTTAAAAAGAAGTGAGATGAAGGCAAAAACACCAGGCTAAAATGACCATATAATGGGATTATTCCAGGATTGAAAACATATGTGCAGACATGCTGAAACACACAGCTGGGCCCCCCTCCCTGCTGCTCCGTACCGGCCACCATTATTTCCAAAAGAAGCAAGTACTGAGTCTTTATATTGCAAATGTGAATGCGCAATTAACAGAGGGCACATATAAACTGTGCTCCATGTGAGCTCTGTGGTTTTACTGCTTATCAAATAAAAAGTAATAAAGAAGCACTCTCTCTATTAATATATTATTTCAAGCAAAGCTGTGGTACTTGCCTGTTTTTCTTCTGCTGCATCAAGCGTTGTCTGCTTGAGCTTTTTTTGCTCAAGACCAACGTGAAACACTACAGTCAGAGTTGCCAGCTTGAGTTATTTTTGCCGTCGTGATGTTTAGTATTTCAGAACTCCTAGGGGCTCTTCTTTTAAGGAGATCAGGTTTTGTTACATTAAAACAAAAAATTTTGCCCAGATGAATTGTGCAGGAATGGATGTATGACGTCCAGCCTCCAAATTCAAAAGGTAAGTACAAAAAAAACTCTCAAATGTGTTATCTTTCAATCACCTGTGATTTTCAAACATTAAACCTTTAGGCGACCCACTTCAGATGTGCTGCTAACAAAAGGTGATTTTACTCACTAGTTCAAGACAAAAAACACTGAGAACAAATTAATTTGTAATCTCAGAAGTTTGGCTCATATACCAGTGAATTCCTGTATTGCGTGTGCAAAGTCCATGGCCACAAACTGCAGCACAGAAATGGCCCACTGCCCAACACATGCTCCAGATGGGGTTTTTCATGCTTCGAGTCTTTATCCTGGAACTGTGCTTTCCTGTAGAAGATGCTTCTATCTCCATGACCAACCCTTGTTGAAACCATGGTGGATGCATCAGGCCTTCCCACGGGCCACAGCACAGTCCTCGATCCACCTGCAGCGACCTCCAGAGGACTCCTCTGGAGCTGTTCTCCTCAGCCCATGCACCAGACACAGCCTTTCCCAAGGAAGAGGTGGGCCTTTCACCCTTTCCATCCTGGTCCCCTTTGGCCAGCGTTCAGACCTGCAGCAGGCGGAGAGGAACCGCTGCAGGGCACAGATGTGTTTTACCCATCCCAGGAACTATGCTGACTGTTTCCAAGTGCCAGCTCCAGGGCTTTACCTCAGACCAAACCCACCACATGCTTCTGGATCTCTCATTTCTACAGAGGCTCAGGGTGGTCTCCTTGCTCCCATGTATGTGCTCAGAGAGGACCTCTCTCACAAAGCATTTACAATTTGAACAGACCTGGCAAGCTCAAGGTTAGGAGAGAAAAATGACATCTTTTGCCCGTACTTAATGTTAAGCTTCTACATATAAAATAACTACATAAACCAAGAAATGAATAACAGGACTAAGCAAATTCAATTTCTACTTAGCAGAATTGGAAAGAATAAGGCTAAAAAAGTTGCTTCAAGGAGGGGATTTAATTCTAAGTGCCAATGCTAGTCCCTTTATTGCGCTTGTATTGCACAAACCTACTAGCAAAAAATTGTCTTAAACAAGATAATCATTAATCCTGACTCCAGCTGTCAAGAAGATTGAGACTGCAACCAACAGGGGAACAAGGAAAATTTGTTAATTTGTTTGTTAAATATTTGCAATGTGTCATATCAATAACGCATAATAAGAAAATCTTGGCCTTCCAGAGCCAATGCACCATGCAAAGCTTTGCTGTATCACACCTAAACTATTATCAATAGCACATTTATTATTATAATGGATGAAAAACAAGCTTCCTGGCTGAAAAATAAGATCAATTTGAGCTCAAGCTATTTGGATGTACTCTAAATATTGTAATTAAAACGCAGCATGAAAGTTCCTTTAAAAAATGACAAAAGAATAGCTCTACTACAATTAACATATGTCATCCATACTCTGATACACCCATCCATGTTGCTCTGATTTAGTAACTGGAGAGCACATAAAAACCAAGGCAAAATTGTATATGTCCAGCCAGACTTTTCTCAACTTTAGGGCTTGATTCAGAGCATTTCCCTGCCGGGTCAGGATCTAGCCTCAGGCTTGAGGATTTGACACAGGGAGTCATCTTAGATTGCACTGAGACTGAGCACCCCATACACATTAGGATTTGATTAGAGTCCAGCACAGATAACTAGCCTAAATTTATCTTGCTGCAATCGAGGACAACTTTAGTTTACAGGGGAAAAAATGCAGACTGCAGAAAGAGAAGCCATCCGTGCAGGGGGAACAAGGTTTCACTCCCAGAGCAGGTGCCGTGGGGACAGAAACGGTGAGAGTGACATCCCCTTCCACAGCGGTATCACACACGCAACAAAAACCTGCAGGAGACAAATGTGACTCTCGCCTTCCCCATCAATTAGAAGCACTCAGACACTTCCCGGGGGGTTACCTGGCACCTCGCAGAATTAGGCTCTACTTTTGTTCTGATAAAGAAGTGACTACTGAGTTACTAGTTACTACAAATCTCCTGATAGCTCTCTAAATAATTGCATTCTCTTATGTCTTTTAATCATAAGCCCCACGAGACCCATAATACCACATTCACAGTCCAAATTGGCTCATCAGCTCAGTTTATCAAAGGGACCTAATTTAATCTCAGTCTTTGATGAAGACAGGAGCCATCAAAGTCTGCCCTAATGATTTGCTAGGTTTACTTCGCTTCCAGATCTGTGGTGTGATGGGCTTGGACTCCAAGCATGGTATTGATAATAGAAAGCCATGATGAGGAAGACAAAATTGTCCAGAGTCTGACAGTCTGACCCAAGAGAAACCACAGGAGGAGCCTGGAACAACAGAAAAGATTGAAGAGGCAAAACAAACCCTGTGATGGGTGTCACCACTAATAACATCACCGACTGGCCAAACAAATAAAGAGGGAGAAGCTCCCTCAGAGCAAACAATCAACTACCACGAGACCCCCACGCAGGAGGGTGCCAGCGTGCGTCAGTCCAAACCAGGAAGTGCAGAGCCAGTAGGACAGCAGGAGCAAAGCGCTGGATGAGGGCACTGCTGCTCTGACCTGGCACAGTCCCTTCCCCAGCAGGGCTGAACGGACCACGTGGTAGGCATGAGAGCAAGGCCTTTCGTGGAAAAGCATCTGCTCTTCCTCTGACAAGCTGAAAAAGGTCTTCTATGCATTCAATGCTTTTAGAGCTGAGCACTTCTGATTTAGGTGCAGCTTTTAAAGCCACTGGAATGACTTCTCTGCTCCTCTTCAGCCTGGTAAGTCAGTGGGCTCTGGGAGCTGTGCGACAGTGACACCAGAGAAGATGAGCAGATGGAAACAAAAAATCAAAGGGAAGTAGCCAAAATTCTTGGTTTCAAGGGATGCTCAACAACAAACAGTACTAGGACTAAAGAGAGCAAAGATTAGGTCTTGTATGGAAAAGCTCAAAGCCCAACCTTCTCCAGAAGAGTGAGGGTTGACAGGAGAAGACTAGAACAGTGTTTCACTTCTTAGCTGCAAGCAATAGATGCAAACACAGTAAAAACTTTCAGAAGAAAACATTACTAGATAAAAATAAAAACAGCTGATTCTGAAGCACTTTTTGGCTTTTAATAGCTTTCAGCTCAAACAGAAGAGGGAACTAGGAACTAGCACTACAGAAGCTTGAGGAGTGCTGCAGGCTGTGAGAAATGAAGCACAAGCACTTGGTTTTAACCGGCACGTACAAAAAGATGGTGCAAAGAAGAGCCAAAGAGATCCTCAAGTAGGGATGTAAAGGGCTATACAGGCATCATTAGCTCAGGGGAATTCTTCACAGGACTACTGAAGTTACAACAGAAGACGGATAGACCATCTGCCTACAAACAGACAGGGCCACTTATTTATTCAATATAGAGAGTGCAGGTGCTCAAGACAACCTTTTTGGGGGGGCGTGATGGGGGGGACAGTGACATTAGCTCCAAAAGAAAAGCCTCAGCCAGCAAACAGCAAAGGAGGAAATGCAAATATCAGTTAGGCTAGCTAATACCTGCAAAAGGACTGGCTGAACTGAGCGTGCGGGTGTATAACAAAAGCAATCACTTGCAATACTGCCAGGCAGGAGAAAACACCCATCACTGGGTTTAAAGAATGCCACATCCTTGGTCTCGTGAGGAATTCACTCTTCAGAGGAGCAGGCAACCTGAATTTGAGGAGAACTTTCAGGAAAGCACTGTGGAGAGGGCAGAGGGGTGTGGAAAGCCCTAGACCCCCCAGAAGAAGCTCCGCTCCCCTGAGGAAGCTCTAGAATAACAGGCAGTTAATGCAACTGGCTGTGACAGAGAAAGGGGGGGGGGAAAGGCAAGTTTAAATACACTCTACAGAAAGGGGGAACTGTCCTCTGTTTGCTCCACGGATTTTGGACAGTATAAAGTAAGTGTCAGGAAGCAAAGATAGCTCTGACAGGCCAGGAACAGCACACAGCTGCAATGGCACAGAGCCAGGACCTGCAGCATCATGAGAAGGTATCTGTGCAACCAACCGTCCACCGGCTTCTGCCAAGCTCAGGGTGCAGCGAGAGCCAGGGCCAGGACACATCACCTCACGCAGAGGCGAGACACCGTGATTGACAGCATCTCACCTTTCTGAAAGGCACCAGTGCCTGGCACCTGCTTCCCCTCTGATTTGGACAGGAAAAGTCCATATTTGCACAGCATCCATGAAAGGTTCCCGTCTTCGGCAAGGACAGCATTAAGGTCTGCACGGACAGTGTTTTGACACCCAGGGAAATAGAGAAAGAGCACAAACAAAGGCTCTAAGCAGATTTGGGAAGAGCCAGAGCTGGAAGCTAAAAGAAACAAAACTCACTCCCACCCAGCGAGATTTCCCTTGCTGGAGGTGACGTAACACAGCAAGGTCTGGGAGATGCCAATAAACCCGAGACCTGGTCACCAGGGCTGGGCAACTAGAAAAGGAAACAGCAGAAAGAGTCCCAACACAAGGGAGCAGCGCAAATGGAGGTCTCCCATCCCACAGCGAATAGCTGTCCCCACATGCTCAGAGCCTGCTACTTGTCCCCAAGCTGAGTCAGGAAACAAGCCCCAGCAGCATCACCCAGGAGAGCAGTGACACCACCTGTCGAAACTGGAGAAGCCAGCACTGGTTCACCAGCCTGCTGCCTCCACGACTGCAGGCACAGCTACAACCCACTTGCTGACAACGTGCTAGTACCGTGACAATCACAACCTGAGTGGTTTTGTCCACAAGAGGAAGACTCACAA